ACTACCAGTTTGCAGGTAAATTAAATCAAATCATCCTATAGCTCCATTCCTTCAGGGTAATCACTGGGCTAAATTTGTATCGCCCTCTGCTCTGTCTGCTGGTTGCTGTATTCAGGTATTTAGAAATGCCAAATGCAAGGGCACCTTTCGCGTCCTTTTAATTCTTTCCATACACGGATGCTAGAGAGTACATTATGTTTTATGCCGAAGCGATTAAAAATAGAACAACACATATCAGTACAGTATTAATGAAGCGAGAGGCTGTACCTCTACGTTTGGCCGTTCCCAGTATCTTAATGGATATCTTTGAAATATGCGAAATTGGCTTCTATTTACTTAGAGAATATAGTCCTATCTCCCATCATGTTTTGTTTTACACCGCACACAATGTTAGCCAGACGACGGATATCGATAGACACTTCCTGCAATCGAGTGCTTTTGGACAGAAAAACACGAAAAGTTTCCTTCGGCCTCGAACATTGCCCCCTGAGTTAAACTGTCGCCTTCTGGCGGCCCTGACTTTCAGTCACGACCGTGAAGTTCAGCTGCGTTTGAAGGACATGGTAAACATCTCCCGCAGATGTGTGATACGGAGACTCGATGTGCATTGTACATTACATAATAGTTAAATGCTTACACAGCTTTACCTTGACTTGTATTTCTATAGTCCTATTACTTAACGAAATGTCATGTAGCTTTGTAGATTATAGAGTACCATCAGACAAACTCCAAATCGAAACCCAGCACTGCACTGTTTGAAGAAATGTGTTGGATACTATACCAATTACAGCGCATCTATCTACGCAACCGTTACGTAATAGGAATTATTTTCAATCCATTTGCCATATCCATTAGAACTATGTTAAAAATGTATTCTGCTTGCTTTCAAAGTCAAGAGTCAAAGACTGTTGCTATTTGTTATTGCATAACCAGGAGTAACTGGATGTTTATCTAAAGAAAGTAAAACTTAAGCCTAGTCAGTAAAAACCAGTCCTACTTTGATCTCAGCGGAGGGTTATTTGTTAATGGGAGCAGCTTAAGTTGTGCTCTGCAGACTTCTGCAACAGACGGCTGATATCCCACTTCAGGCACGCTGCGTGGAGTGTGCTCGTCTCATTACCTATGCGCCGTCTCCTGGGTAACGTGGTCATTATGCGCGAGTTCTTTTATACTTAAATGCTACATCTTCATACGGGAATCACTGCTTGTCCAGTCCTCATATCGCTCTCAGGTTCTGTACGAAGGAAGCAGAATGAGTGACTTGGCGAAATATCTCGCCGCTCGCTCGGCGTCTTTCCGGCTGCCAGCGGTCAGCGGACAGTCTGACAACGTCTCCTCTGGCGAGGTCGCTACCAACCCCGAGAACATGATCCCAGTCGACTCGATGGTCTGTGGAGTCCTGCTTTCATTGTTGACACTGTTTATGCTGGCCGTGAACGGACGGGTTATTCTAGCTTTTATTTTGGACAAGAAGCTGCGGTACCCTAGTAACCTACTCGTACTGAATCTGTCGGTGTCGGACTTTTTGTTCGGTTTGCTGTCTCTCCCGTTCCTGACTGTGAACCAGGTGACGGGCCGGTGGGTGTTCGGCCAGACCGCCTGCTCTCTGTGGCAGTTCGTCACCCTGTGGATGAGGTGTGAGTCTGCCTTCACCTTGGCACTGGTCAGCTTCGACCGCTACCTGATGGTGAAGCGGGCGGCGCAGTACCGCCGGAAGACCCGCCGGACAAGCACGTTTGTCCTGCTAGCGAGCAGCTGGGTGCTGTCCTTGGTGCTGACGGGACCTGCCGTACTCGTGTGGGACGTCCTCCTGGCCAAGGGTGTTGTGTGGGAGGAGAGATGTCTGACAGACTTTGTGTTGGAGGCGCCGGCCTACAACATGATTCTCCACATCCTGATGTTGCTGGGACCCAGCGCGATCATGACGTTCTGCTACGTACAGGTCGTGCGCGACCTCAAGAAGCGGGCCAAGCGCCGCGCTCTGAACAAGTCGCCGCTGCCGGTCCGAGTCGGGCGGTTTGAAGACAAACATGCGACAAACGAGACACCTGAAGACAAGGAGGACAACACCACAGAAAAGTCTAAGACACCTCCACCAGCAGTACGGCCTTGTCGTCTGGAGAAGGTGGACGTCTTGGTGACCATCGCCGAGACGAAAGACAAACGCCCGGGAGCCTACCCGAGCTTTGCCGTGGCAAAGACGGCGGACAGTCAGAGAGACGTCCCGAAGCTGCAAGAGCAACATAAGGCTACTGTAAACATGGAAAAAATCTTCGCGGCTTTCTTGTTCAGAAAAAGGACTATAACTAATGAGGACAAAGTGTCTCGGACGGTAGGACTTCTGATATTTGTGTATATCATAACTTGTGCCCCCTTGAGCATAGTCACAGTTGTGATGGGGATTTTAAAAAATGTCGTCACGTCTTCACTGTACAAAATCCTGTTTGTTGTCATGGCAACCAGCGGGGCAGCCAATCCGGTGATCTATGCTTATCGTAGTCCACCAATCAGAGAGCATCTTTTGAGTGTGCCATGTAGAAAAGCAAAGGGCAATCATTATCATGGTAAAAACTTTGTCTGAACTTGATGTAGTCATGCTAATGCTATTCCTACGATGCATTTTGTAAATGTTTAAAATTTTGAAAAAAAAAAGTTTTACTACCACAGTATTTTCTTGATAAAACTGTAAAACTGCACATTGTACCTGTAAATATGCTATCTGTAAGTATAAGAAGTACCTTTTCTTGTTAGATTAGACTGACTAGCACAAGTGAAGAGAAATAAAAAATGTACGATAACTGATAGGGTATGTCTGTTTACAAAGTGTGAATGGCATGTGCTGCAGTTCGTTAGGGCACATATATAGTGCGTTTTAGCATTGGTACCACACCGTTAGCAAGACCTAACAAAGGAATGTACAATGCATGCCTCTAAGACGCATATGCGCTGTCAGTGTTGCTACTGAGTACTAAAATTGTATGAAAGACTGAAACCGCCAGGTGGCGCTTCATCACAGGTATGTGCTCAGCAATGTGCTCAGCTTCCCACATATGCCAACGGAAAGACACAGCACGATACAGACATGAGACCGGGACACGCGCGTAATTAGCCAAGTGTGGGGGCTCACAGTCGCCCACATGCCTTACAGTTAGAATGTCTGACTTTCCTCCCCCTCCCTCTCTTCTCTCATTGCAAGACTGTTTAACACAACAATAAGGCTAACGACCGCTTGGTTATTAGCTACTTAAGGTACGCTAACGGCCTGTTCTTTATAACACGAGGGCTGGAAATCAACCGAAGACCTACATGTGCTTGTCGACTTCAGATAACTCTTCGAGGCGTACTAGAACGTAAATGCTACTTCACAGATGTATTAAACAAAGGCTGACAGTTCAGAAAAATGACTGTAACCATTGTAGAGCTATAAGACGCCAGGGTATTGAAATGCATAATACCACACAAGTGCAATTAATCTCCAAATGGTGAAAAACGGCAATGCCTGCTGTTGGATAAATAAGACTCTTTGCTGGAAAATGTTCATGACAGGAACTAATTACAAATCTTTGCAAAATAATACCACATTTCAATCAAGACACGGCCACGTGCCCTTCTATGTGACTACACTTCCCTTTCCTATCAGAGTTTGTAAACAACAGAAAGATCACGACAGCCGGAAAGGCGAGTTTAACAGAGTGAAAATAACTGTCACGACTCCAGGCGCAGACTGCGTATCAATGAACGGAACCATATAACAATAATTGACTTTCATCACAAAATCTGCCACGCACGATTTTATATAACAGTTATTTGATATAATACATCTAGGTAATCACTCGTGCATAAGACCAATCGTGTCTTCAGGAAACATAGCTAATTGTTTCCACATGTGCGATTCAAATTGATGAATCAAACGAGTTACCCGCACGACTTCCTTTTTAGGTTAGAAGAACATGTTAATGGACACACCTAAAAGAGATATGTAAATTAGCAAAGGTGGGGTTTATAGTGATAGGACGCTGCACTGAAGTCATGGATTTCAGTACAGAGGAAAGAAAAGACAAATCTATCCATGAAAAGCTCTATCACTGATGCAGAATTGTATTTGCAAAGGTCAAGAACCGCATTCTTTGTTTGCATAACCAGCAAACAGTATCTAGCCGTAACACAGCAGTTCTCCACGTTACGCGAAAGCTGGGTACAACAACATTTATATGTTTGATACACTATTGAAACACCGGAATGGATCGCTACGTGGGCTCTTAAATTTAAATGTTCTCAGGGTATCTCTCTCCCTGAAGGTGGAAGGTCCAACTGTACGTCCCATCCTGAACTAAGCTAAGTAACGTTACTGATGATGTTTCCCTGAGTTGAGTAAAGAAATAGGTGTAAAGTTCATTTCCCGAATGACATTGTAGCTGCTGGGACTCCGGCCAAGAGCCTTTCATTCCGCGATCGCCATGTAACCCGCTGTGAGAGGTTTGACGCACTTGACTCGATCGAGTTTAATATTAAACACTATTCTAGGAAAAAGCAAGTTCACGCCTTCTTGTGAAAAGCTGTTGCTTTCTAAAATGCATTAGTCTAGACGGCAGATTGAGAGGACTGTGCCATCTGGAGTGGTATATTTTTAGGTTTGTTCCAAGATATGGTGGAATAGAAGACCTTGCCTGTAATTACACATTGTGGAAATGTACTGTTAAGTGTTGGATTCACATGATGACGGAATAAAATATATGTATAAGGAATGGAAGAATAAACACAAGCACAATAAATCTTTGTATATTTATTCCTCAAACAGTTTGTCTACATTTCTACCAATTCTGGAAACATTAATTTTGAAATACCAGTAGTAGCAACAAGAAAACTATTCCATAAATGTAATTACTTAAGAAAATGAGCACGACGTCCAAAACAATTAAGCCTTAGCCTTTTTTGTGCTGTTAACATGATAAAGTTAGTGCATGCGAAAATGAATGAATAACATTCTTACGGTTTTGCCATTACTTTGTGCTGTTATATGCACGTCTTCTACATGGCACACTCAAAAGATGCTCTCTGATTGGTGGACTACGATACGCATAGATCACCGGATTGGCTGCCCCGCTGGTTGCCATGACGACGAACAGGATTTTGTACAGTGAAGACGTGACGAAATTTTTAAAAATCCCCATCACAACTGTCACTATGCTCAAGGGGGCACAAGTTATGATATACACAAATATCAGAAGTCCTACCGTCCGAGACACTTTAAACTCCATACTTAAAGTCCTTTTTCGAAACGGAAGGCCTGCAAAGTTTTTCACTGTGTCCACAGCAGTCTCTTGTTTGTTTTGCTGTTTCAAGGCAGATTTCGGATTGCCTTTCTTATCCACTATGGCCTTTGCCACGACAAAGCTCGGGTAGGTTCCCAGGCGTTTGTCTTTCGTCTCGGCGATGGTCACTAAGACGTCCACCTTTTCCAGCCGACAAGGCCGTACTGCTGGCGGCGGTGTCTTAGACTTCTCTGTGGTGTTGTCCTCCTTGTCTTCAGGTGTCTCGTTTGTCGCATGTTTGTCTTCAAACCGCCCGACTCGGACCGGCAGCGGCGACTTGTTCAGAGCGCGGCGCTTGGCCCGCTTCTTGAGGTCGCGCACGACCTGTACGTAGCAGAACGTCATGATCGCGCTGGGTCCCAGCAACATCAGGATGTGGAGAAACATGTTGTAGGCCGGAGCCTCCAACACAAAGTCTGTCAGACATCTCTCCTCCCACACAACACCCTTGGCCAGGAGGACGTCCCACACGAGTACGGCAGGTCCCGTCAGCACCAAGGACAGCACCCAGCTGCTCGCTAGCAGGACAAACGTGCTTGTTCGGCGGGTCTTCCGGCGGTACTGCGCCGCCCGCTTCACCATCAGGTAGCGGTCGAAGCTGACCAGCGCCAAGGTGAAGGCAGACTCACACCTCATCCACAGGGTGACGAACTGCCACAGAGAGCAGGCGGTCTGGCCGAAGACCCACCGGCCCGTCACCTGGTTCACAGTCAGGAACGGGAGAGACAGCAGACCGAACAAGAAGTCCGACACCGACAGATTCAGTACGAGTAGGTTACTAGGGTACCGGAGCTTCTTGTCCAAAATGAACGCTAGAATAACCCGTCCGTTCACGGCCAGCATAAACAGTGTCAGCAATGAAAGCAGGACTCCGCAGACCATCGAGTCGACTGGAATCATGTTCTCGGGGCTGGTGGCGACCTCGCCCGAGGAGACGTTGTCAGACTGTCCGCCGACCGCTGGCAGGCGGGAAGACACCGTGCGGGCGGCGAGATATTTCACCGAGTCGCTCATCCTTCTCGCAAACAGCTCGGAGAAGTGTGTTGCCCCAAAGTCAGAAGCTATGCCCCTTTTATGAGCTGGCTAGAAAATACATTAATAAGTATAAAAGAGCTCGCGCATAATGACTGCGTTACCTAGGAGACGGCGCATAGGTAATGAGAAGAGCACACTCCATGCAGCGTGCCTGAAGTGGGATATCATTGGGTTATTGCCGAAGCCTGTAGAAGCCAACATAAGCCGGCTCCATTAACAAATAACGCGCCGTTTGGGCCAAAACTATCGACTTGTTGTTTCTTGACAGTCCTTTCAAAATCTTTCATTTTTCCACTGAAACCTGTTGCGAATAGAACATGACAATTCCGCAATATCGTAACAGAAATGAGGCACAAATATTTGGCTTTGGACGTTGAAATGAGAGAAGTTTAGTCGTGACAAGGTTCTTGGAAAATGCAATGAAGGGGATGAAAACGTTCCCGGATGTAGGACCGAATCTAATGACAGATAAATGACGCTAATCATACCTTTGCCTGATACACAAAAGATGTAACTTATGCAATATATTTCGAAACCACTTTAGGCGTACGTACTACATCACGACTGGCAGACCTTTCTGCACGTACAACTGTAGTCCATTTCTACACTCTGGCATACATACAGGAAGCCTTAGTAAGCTACTCTGAGCTTTTTTACTGTAACACAATCCATGTTACTCCTACATTGCCATTATCGTGTCTGAGCCAAGCTAAAGTGTCAATAAAACGCATGTTGGCACCAGTAGTTGCATAAGGGCACAGCATTTGGTAATCACTGCATTTCGCAGAAGTGGATTCTTCACGTTCTCTTCCAAGCACTTCGATTTGAATGATGTTGAAAATTGCCAAAATTTGTGTTAGAGTAAATTGGGGCTATATATGTAGTGTCAAGGTAGTGTGGAAAGTCGGGGGTTAGGCTTGGGGAGGGTGGGGGGCGGGTAACTTATAATTTTTTTTACAAAATCTTGATTTTTAGACATATCATTTATTCATGATAAGTTCGCCTACTGTTTATAGATATGCCTTAGATGAATGATTGGTCTGCGTTCTGACATTTATGAAATTACATTTTTGTCCGGCTAAGTTTTCAATGCATCGCGTTCAGAAATAGCAAGATGTCACGGGGTTTTTGTCATCAATACACTTCAACAAGTTGGCGCATGGGTTTCACTATTAATCTAAAACAATGCAAAATTGGAAGATAGGATTGTACATAGATTATACGCGGCATTTCCAAAGCTATCTATTCGTTACGGAATACTGCAAACAACAAGGTTTTCATCACCCCTGAACATTTTGTCAACAGTGAGACTAGACGGTCATGTCTAGGGTTCTACTGTCTGACAGGATGACAGATTATTCGCCTTGTATCTGAAAACATCAACAACCTAGACTAGACAGCAATAAGCACTTCACTTGGATCCTTCAGAACATCAAAACATAGACAGACATTCGACTTATTATTATTTTATTTTTATTTACCTTTCTTTATTTAGAGGGAGAGAGAGAGAAAGGGAGTGAAATACGATATAGTAAAATTAAATAATTATAGTGGTATTATTTACCATTGTTAGAGTTGAGGAGGCGAGTGACTTAGGGATAGGGATTGTTGTTACGGAGAACCGAACAGTTTCCTGCCTTTGGCCGATGTAAATGAATCTGTACACACTTGTTGCTAGTACATCAACAGTAGGGCACGTCTGGGTAACAAGCCAAGTTAACTGTTCAAACAGTATATATATATCTTACGTCATTTGTTATTGTTACAGTGCTGATCATGAGGTGACCGCGTGAAGACATCGTGATCAACGTACCGTTATAAAAATAGACTCATGGCAGATTATAAGAAAGGGCACAATAATATAGACACCGGCAGCGGAAGGTCAGATACATTTGCACTGTTAGGTCTGGGAACATAACACAATAATCTTTTCATCGCCGCGACATTTTCATGAAGGATTGTTTAAGTGGGACTATTGTTGGTATGTTATTGCAGGAAATCGCTGAAATAGCCTGTGTTATGGTTACCAATGCATAGTCTTCAATTTCTGCATCTTCATGTTTGTGGCTGGTAAACATGAATTTACTAAGTTACTGCCGCCTAAAAAGGTTTTGTGTAGCGAATCCTGGAGAGACTGTTAGTAACTGTTGGTGCCAGTAGGGTTCGTAACACAACAAAGATGCATTGTTAGATGTTGCAAAACACTCTAGCTTCGTAGGACAAGATAATGACACCAAAAAAAGCTTCTACTGCCAACATTCTACTGAAGTACGCTGTTTGCGCGGTTTGACGCACACGTGCTGCTGTATTTTTGTCTGCAAAAATAAAAATAATGGGCCTTGTATCGTGGATAGACTTATTTTTCACAGACTCTTCAGTCAAGTATCGCACGCACTGTACATAGTTATAGGCAATCTGGGGACAGTGTGCTCACTCGAGCTCCCCCGCACCACTAGAACCCAACACGCTGGCTGGGTGATTAGCGCGTAATAGGCCACTCAGACGCCGCTCTGAAGTGTTTACGCAGTGAGGAGTATACCACGTTAACACGTATGTTATCACACGTGAAGACATCAGTACACACCTGTGCTGTCTAGAACGTGACTTGTCATTCTCGATGGTAGATGAGCGCATGGTAAAGGCCTTGATCTGAAGCGATCTGAAGCCATGATGACTGTGTACGTACATGTAAGGTTTATGAGACTAACTGGGATCTCTTTACAGGCTAACAAAAATGTTGTCACATGTGAAGACATCGTCGGTGCCCACCTGTGCTATGACTATGCCATGACAACACTAACTACCTGCTCTGAAGCCGTAATATCTGTGTGCATACATGTAAAGCAGATCGTTAAACTAATTGGGATCTCTTTACAGGTTAACTCATATGTCACCGCACGTGAAGACATCGCTGCGCTCCTGTACCGTCTTGACCACACTACCTGGAACGTGCGCGTCAGATGGCCATTATACGTAATCATCAGGAGTGGGTGCGTGCGTAGGGTGGTTATAGTCGGGCCCTGCTCTGAAGCCGCATAATGTTTGTGTAGGTACATGTAAGGTTTGTTTGACTAGCTGGGATCTCTTTACGTGTTAACTCATATGTCACCGCACGTGAAGACATCGCTGCTCTCCTGTACCGGCTGTACCACACTGCCTATAACGTGACCAGTCACTATCGGTGTGTTAGCTCGCGTGCAGTGGCCACTCAGGCCCGGCTCTGCTTTCAAGTCACGGTGTTTGAAATTAGAATATCGTCATTAGCAGCCCAAAGGCGAGGTCAGTCAGGGTATATACAGCTAGTGTGCTAACTCATATGTCTCCGCACGTGAAAAACACTGAAGCTCACCGCTGATGTTACCTAGAATGTGACAATTGGTCGTCAACAAGCGCGTGCCAATTAAGGTTACTTGGGCCTTTTTTCGTCTATGAAGTCACGTGCATTTGAAGATTTCAGACTTCCATCATCAAACGCAAAAATATATGATATATAGAAGGAACAAAACCAGAACAATTTGACCATGTATGCGTTGATTTAATGCAACATTATCAAAATCAACACGTCCGATTTGAATTGAGCCAAATTTGCTTGGGTGCCATAGCCACGACCTCACACACTCACACGTACCCACTGCGTTTCTTTTTACGCCATGGAAGAAGTGATGCTATCAGTCCAAGAGCCTGGGCACATCGTACATGTACCACTTCTAAGTACTCGTGATTGATGAGGCAATTTAGACATCTGTCTGCGGTCTACTTCTTGCGATTGCCGGCCTGTGTCAAAGTGTGTACTTGAGAGAAGTGCATGTAGCTTGACATATCGAAATCTGTCTGTGTTTGTATCCTTTGCGTTTTGTCATGTCTTATTGGAGATAGCATTATGGTCATGTACAAGATCTGTGATACGAAAATAACAAAGGAATACAACATCTGGATTATGCAGTACTTTACACTTATGATTTAGTTCAAGAATCATGCTTACTTGAGCGGTTTTGACCGAACGTGGCCTATCACTTAATATGAACTGCGTAATCAGCCTGAAGAAGCACTTGCGCTGAAATTGGTCGGTTTAAAAAAGAGAGAGAGTTGAATGATAGACTTGACATTTTGTGGATTGAAACGTATTATGTCCATTAGTCCCCAGAAGTGCCACATGTATGGTGGGCACTCTCCCTGTCTGCTACTACCTTTGATGTACAGTACTCCTGCAACTCTGTAAGTGCCACGTGTAGAGCCTGTGGCACTCAAGTTTCATTATCATTCTGACGTGACCACGTTTTGAACCTCTGCCACCAGGATAATCGCTTTACTGTGCTTCTATAGTTTTCTTCTTGAGAGCCCTATCATAGAAATAGAATGAAAGAAAACGACTTGAAATAATATAATGAATAAAAGAATATAATGGAAAAAAACGACAAAGTAAGACAATGTAACACGATCGATATGAAATGAGATATGAAATCAAATAAAAGATTGGTAAAATAAAATAAATATGACTTGACATACTTAATGAATAATCGTACATCCATTCTCTATATCTATTATCCGGTGTTTACGACACTCAGTGGCATATACATGTATGTTACTGAATACATTAACTATACACAAAAACATTCAGACATTCTGTGACCATATATGTGCATGTTATATGGTACCGAGTGTTGTGCTTCTGAAGCTGTACAGTTTTACACGTGATGTCCCTGGTCCCTGGGGTGTTGTTGACGCATATCGCCCCGTCCTGCTGCCGAAGACATTGTTACAGACACGCGTTAGGGGGAATTCAATCTAAGCATTAGAATGAATGAATGAATGAATGAAGACCTTTATTGTACACACATACCCACTGGGTTAAGTACAGGGCACAACAAAAGGATGGAATACAAATAACGTTACATATATACATCTTCAAGTAGCTACAATTAAGTAAATTCGGTTTCTTCTCGTTTCTTAGTAATGGTAAAAAGGTAAGAACACGTATGTTTCAATATAGAAGGTTTGCCTAAGCTCATTAGATATAAATATCATTAGAATGCAGTGGCTTAGTATATCCTCTAGACCTACTTTTGGTCACATGTGCATTTAGCCCACCCGGGCATGAATATGCAATAAAGATTTATTCATTCAATTCGAGAGATAGAACTAGTGCTAGATAATTGTTTTACCTGGGAAAAATACTGAAGAGCCTGAGGTGTGACAGATATTGGGTCACGCGGATAACACACGGGTGCATCTGTGCTTTACGGCTGGTTTTGTTTTCCTCCCCCTCATGTCGTTAAGTACGGAAGATAACGGTAGGAAACATCCGTACATGTGCTGCACGTAAAGTTTAAGTGGGAGGGCATCCCGCGTTCAGTGATCTCCAAGTGAGATGACCTTGTTTTAACTGAGTGAGTTCGCAACACGAAGCACTCGATTGAGTGGCGAAAACGCGAGCTCACCCCAGGTCTGATCGGACGACCTCTTGTGTAATGTTATATTTAACAACACGTGTTTTAGCAAGTTATCGTCTTTATGGGGTTGAAGAATACCAGTAATGCGCCATTGACGTTGCCTGGGTTCTCTTTTTGGTGGTTAATGGGTCGTTTGATGGTGAATCTTGAAAGCAGGTCCTCACTTACAGGTGTCTATTTCTGTTCCTAAAGTTCGCGCTCCTCCTACGAAAGTCGTCATTGATGGAGATACGTTTACGTCATACGACATTGACCTTCTCACTTTTCTGAATCAATATTCTGAATCAGCAGGAATCTAGCAGAACCAGGCCGAGTGAAGAACTGGCAAAATTGCGTTACATCAGTCGGGAAATCCGAGGAGCTTCAACACCTTGATATAACCGATATAGCAGTGGGAAACCCTAGTTATTTGTCTCATCCACACCAGAGGCGGAGTGAGTCGGAATGCCGGCTGAATGTAGAATGCACTTCAAATATTCAGGAATAGACGAAGAATTTTCATTCAGATGACATTCCGCCTGTCGTATGAAGAGGGTATTAGAAAGATATTTGTCATACGATGTAGAATGCATTTTCGTTTTGGAGTGATGTAACTGCAGTGAAATCGCGACCTCTAGCGATAGTTTGAGTACTACACCAAGCAGGTTGCTAGATACAGGTGCCGATCATTTGAGCGGACAGGGGTTGGTGTAGAGCATGTTTATATAAAAGTTAACTCTAGTTTTTTTCCCCCACATCACTCTATAGTTAAGTAGAGCCGCCTTGTGTACATGTATTCTTACACAAGGCGACGCGCTTTCTTAATCCTATTTCAACTTAATCCAGCCGCACCTGGGGCGGCGGTGTTCCTTACACTTCCTTAAACCCACGTCAAGCTTCTTGGAATTCCGCCAAACACAAAGTCTGCAAAACAACATGGCTACACCACGATAAGGTCAAACATGACGGGCTTCATTTCCCGTCCGTCCCACGGCCCGGACGGCGCGCTCTGTTGATTATTTTGATCGCTGGCATCCGCGGCACGATACCGGCCTATTTTAGCTGACGCTCCCCTCAGGCGCAGGACATATACTACAGGCTTGTGGCGCTCTCTGACATGTGACCCAGCCTGATTCTCGTTAGGGACTAGACTTGAGGGTTACTTCGGTTCGTGTTTGGCGGGGTTTATCACTGAGACTCCCCCGGCTCTAACCTGACTCACTGGTGTACAGCGCGGGTGGGTGGATACTGAGGACTGAGGCCGGCCTGGGTGGGACGCCAGCTCAACTGTTTCTTATCCAAAGATCTCCAAACAACAGTCGGCTTCAGGCACTGGTCAACCAAAGAAGCGGCCTTTCTTTGTGCTAAAATCCAAGGAGGACAGCGTATGACTGCGTTTGTAGCTGGGATAGACCCTCTGAGTCGTCTCTTTTCTCCAGACAGCAGCAGTGTATGAAACAGGTCAGTGTACAACCATATTATTTTACAATCACGAGATTTACTACTGTTATGTTATTAGTGTTAGCATTTCAGTACAGTTACTCTGAGTTGTTTTGACTTGTGTAGCACCAACACTCCGCCTGTAGCGTCGGTCGATATGTGTTGTGAGCGCCGCCAGTGTAACGGAAAGGTTACTGGTAGGGTTGTGTTGTTATAAACAGTCTCTCGGATAGCAGAGCGAGGCCAGGGCCCCACATACCAACACGCACGCCATCTTGTCGCCTGTCATATCGGGAAAGGGAAAGTCATACGGCGGCCAACTTCATTCAGAGGTTAGCTGGTAGACAGGCTTCAGAGATAAAACGTGAGGATTTGTCAGGTTTACAACCGTGTTAGAAAATAGAACGGTCACGCGTCGTTAGAAATCGCTACTGATAATTTATCCGGGGATTATGTTAGTTTACGGACTCCCCTGGGCACATCATTTCTTCCAGATGGGAGAGGCTGGGTGTCTCCTGGTACCAGTCCAAGAAGTGCAGGAAGGGGGGGGGGGTGCAGACGAAATATTGTGTCATAGAGAATGTGCACACTGGCCTGGGGTGGAAGGGATTGTACTTTATTTCCCACTCCTGACCATCTTTGGTGTATTTAGGACTGTAAACTAGGTTCAATTTTATTTCAACGGGTACAATGTCAAGATAGTCTAAAGTAATGTAATGTATCTCTAAGAACCTTATTTGGCTAATCGTAGCATGCTACAAAACAGCCATATCCGAACGATCAATAAAGATGACAATAGGCAAAGCAACAGAACAAGCAAGGTTCTTATTTATTGACGCAATGAAACGCTCCATTGTTCCACGGTCAAAGTCAGCCCCGCCTTGTGTTTGCACATAACCCCCCTGCCCGTGGCAACTGTGTACCTTGGACTGTACTTCAGCTTGGATTTTATTTGGAAACTCCCTCCAGTTGAGACCTGTAACCCCGCGGCCGATAAGTGTTTGTGTACTTTTGGAACAGCTGCGTCTGGCTGGGTGTTATCTTAGAACACCAGACCATGTTGCAAAATGAATCCGTAGTTCGCAAACATATCGCTAGACGTCTCTCTTGTAGCACGTTGGCTGACGTGGGCTGAGCATTCAGATCTCAACTAGCCTGGATCATGCCAGCCTGCTTTCGGGGCAAGCCCATCACTTAAACCTGTAAGGGTCTAACTGATGAGTGTCTATGGTAAAATTTCCTCCGGGACATGTTGGCACTTTAGCCGGGGTCCTGGTAACAGTCTGGCACCTAGGCTAATGTCAACGTGCACGCTAAGAATTTTATCCTGTTGCCTGATATAATATTTCGTGTTCACGTTGATGCCGATACACAGTTTACATTCTCTCTCAGTCCGCAGTGCACCATGGTCTTCGTGTACAACCGTTATGACGTCAGAGGCCTGGGGATCGCCATCTTGGTGTCCGGGCTGCTGAGTATCGTGTTCGGGGTGGTGGGGCTGTTCTTCGGGGAACATCACATCCACAGTTTCGCCGCGCCGATATGGAGCGGCATCATCGTGAGTTCGTTTGTTTGTTTGTTTCTTCGTTTATCTTTTCAAAATTACTGCATCTTTGGAGGCGGTGAAACAACAGGTGATCCTTGTCATCCTTCCGAAGACTAATAAGAACAACATAACGTATATACATTGGACAGATGTAAATGCAAACATTATGAATTATGTACAGAAAAAGAAAAGTGCGACCCTTGAATAGTTGTATGTCGGAAGATAGTGTCGACACTCGACAGAAATATGATGGAAAAGTTGTGCATGGAAAGATACAGCTAAGATATATATGATTCAACGCTTTCTTTTGTCGTATACTCGTCGTGTACCTGTCGTACGACGTATTTTTCTGCCCCTCAGATTGTGGTGACGGGAGCCTTCTGTATCGGAACCGGTAACAAACCCACCAGCAGATGTCTGGTGAGTCCAACTTTCTGTCACAACCTGTTACGATTTAAAGCCAGAAGAAGTCCAGTGTAAGAATGACTGTCTTTTAAGGCCGCAATTAGATTCTGTATAGGTTCAGGGGTTATAATTTAAGGATTATTATTGTTATAGTCCCATTATCAAATATTCTTTTTCTACTTGCAATTAGCCCAATTAGGAAAGAGTTTGCAAAAACAAATTTTACTGGCATCACCTAGTTGAGGCTTCTGTTGTTTTATAAGCCTTGGCATCGCCATGGTGATGTGGCGATTCAGTAGTTCTGTACATGTTGCCCTCCCCCAGGTGACGACCCTGCTGTTCTTCGCGGTGCTGAGCCTGATCCTGTGCACGCTGTGCTGGGTGCTGGCGCTGATCGGGCTCATGCGGCGGGAACACTGCACCCACTCCTCCGGCCTGTGTGACGGCGTCACCGTCGCCATGTTCTCCATCACCCTCCTGCTCGGCATCTTCCAGATGATCCTGTGTTTCCTCATCTCCATCATCTGCTGTCTCGGCATCTGTTACGGGGACGCAAGGGAGGTACGTGATATACAAACCAACCTTTCGGACAAAGACTGTATCAAATTGGGAAGGCAGTATCAATTACCTGGACAGTTACCATTTGCCGAAAAAGATACCAGCTGCAGTACATACATGTAAAAGAGAGTCCGATTAAGTACCTAAAACGCGCAAAAAAAAGCCGAAGCACAAACCTCTGCTTGGAGAGTAGGAGGTACGTGTCCAGGGGTGTACAAAGTGTACTAAGTACGAAAAGAAAACACATTGAGCACTAGTTAATGAAATACAATGAGGGAATTAAAATATGTTACCGAGGAGAAGACGTTATTGAAGTTCGATCGCCTTCGTCAGGTTTACAGACCACCTAGAACAGCTATGTGTCAGCACTACAATCCAGACAGCATGATGAGGGTACGGGTTGTGTAGCTAATCCAAAGTTCTGTTTGTCCTCAGCACGAGCCGACGGCCTATGAACAGGAACCCGCCGAGCGCTCTGTCTTTGTCGTAGGTAAGAACAGATTACATGTAGGTTTCTTCGTGCGGGTTACAAGGGATCAAGAGTGCTCAAAAAATGTTAGTGTTTTCCAGCATGTCGCAACGTTTCTTTCCTTATTTTGGCTAGTGGATCACATTCTGTTAATCCAAGGACGTTTTACAAGCTTGTAAAATGTTCTTGGTTTTTAATCTACTTGTACACTTCCTGTACCTAAGACAGCCAAAGATACGAGCACTTAAATCTTTTTTTCGTATACTGATGTTGTACGCGATTCTCCACCAGCTACCCAGTCTCCCCCGGCTCCCCAGAAGCCTCCAGCCTCCCGGAGCCGCCCCAGTCCCCGGAATGAATATGTAGATGAGCCGCCTCCGGTAGAGAAACGGCCTGAGCGTCCCGCACAGAAGGGACGGTCCCGGGACAGGGCGGGACGGGACAGGGCGGGACGGGACAGGGACAGGCGGACACCGGATAGACGGCCTTAGGGCTTCATACAATCTCTTAACTTCTTCAAATGTTCAGAGACGTATAAAGTGCCGGTCATGATACAAGATAGGTTAAGAAAAGTTTGAGCAGTCAGGGAAATACCTTGCTTACTAACTTTATTATTTTGATACAATTTGGCGGGGGCAAGAAACTATCAGATTGGCCACCACTATCCAGTTGGCACCGTAGGGCCAACAATTTAATAGTTTTTGCTTTTTGCAGAGTAGAATAATGTGTTTATTACGGAATTGCACACTTTCTTTTATGTCTGAACTATTCAAGGCACAAAACAATACTTTGCAGCAAGATCTAGAAATACATTTACACGCGCTTTGTTTCCCCAAGGTACAAGTCACTATATCAGACCTTTACAATTCTTAATGCCTTTATATTTCTTAATGCCTTTATGCCAAATGTATCTCTCTATCCATGTATATGTTATGTACCATCAAAACTGATATCTTACAGTAGAGTAAGAAAAGGGAACATGACAATCAATCTATTTTTCAAGGTAATCGAAACAGTATTTGATCTGGTTTTTACAGTACTTAATATCTATGTTTCCTCAGTTCACCTTTAGTGGATATATCTTTCTATCTATGTATAATCTATAGCTATATAAAATGCTATCTAGCTTACACGAGTCTATATAGGTAAGAACAACGCTGCGTTTCTTTACGATTTATTGTATTTTCCTGGCCTAGCAAGATTTTAGCTCGGCGCAACTTTACTACTTATTAAGTCTTATTTAACAAATATTTGTGCTTTTAATGAACACACATATTCTGATGTAGGCATTTTCAATTTCACATTTTTCAAGAATTTCTTATATACCGTAGTGTAATCCACAATTGTAAGTTACAGTGTGTGCCAACAATTCTAGAACACTGATCCATTCTACATTATTAAGTGAATGTAGAGTAGAACTATTATCGTTACAGGTACCAATTTTAGTTCTGCCATGTTATGACACTTTTGAATACCACCGACATCCATGTCAGAAATACACAGCGTCCCTCTTACTGGAAGACTGAATTGATGGTGTAGTTACAGATAAGGAGGCAGAACGAAACCCGGAGCTCAATTTCCCAAAGTTGCACAGGTATCTGTACAGCGCCAGATTGATAGGCGGATCAGACTGTAAAAGGGTACGTTTTTATGGATGTAGAGACCGCGCCATTCGCTGGATACGAGTACAAGTACCATGTACGGGGATGCCTTTCCCTTGCGGGGATCAAGTGAATGGCGGCAATACGCAGCGAAGGAACGCAGGAGAACTACAGGGTGTCTACACTTTATTTTCCAGAGAGGCAGTTTTCATATATTTTCTGTAGATTCCGGCTGAGCTTTATTTAGTAAGACTGTTATGTGCCACGGTTATAAAAAAAGAGACATATTTTGTATGTTATGATGCTACACAGTACTCCACCATTAAACATACAACATTACCCCAAGTCGTTGAGTTTTCAATGATATGATACTCGTATATACCATTTATGAATATATCGTGTGTGTGTTGGCCCTTGTCGTTTTTTCCCTTTGTTTAATGATGGCCGTACGTTTTGTTCTACCAGACCAATCAAACTAAATGAGTAAAGGCAGTTTGACTGTCGTCCCACGTCGTAAATTTAAGAGAGGTAAAATTGAAGCGTCAGTCACGTTAATTGAAGGATAATGGGGAACCTTGCATAACGCTGTGGAGCTCTCGTGTTGTTGCGGTGTGTGACTTAGACTGCGATATTTTGTGAACAATTCAATTCAAATTTTAGGATGAAAGCGTAATTTTGTCAGATCATGGTTGCTCTGAAAGTCTTTTATAGTGTTTTGATCGTACAGCTCTCTTTTGGCACGCTTTTTCACCACCAGCGAAATTAGTCTTCAGAAAGACGTATAAAACGCTACAAAACAAGCGGGAGCCATTGATGGATCTGTTAAGAGGTCAATGAAAACGCTGATGTTGGCATTCTGACTGTCGTTAAAACTGTGCCAGGCCGTTTTATCCACATTAAAACAGGCCGTACTAACTGGCCACATTTACAATGTATCAATTAAGTAGGCGCTAAGATGTAGCAAATGTAACGACGCCCTACTAGGCATCTGGCTGTTAGGACCTTCAGGCACAAATTAATTTATAGGAATATCGACAGCCATGCACAGGAGGTAATCACCTTACTTTTCACGTCGTATTGAGTGCGGCGGAGTTAAATTATTTAACGCAGAAACTACCGATGCTGTGGAGAAAGATAATAGAACGTTTTTACGAGATCTGTGGAAACCTCGCCCAGTCTGCAGTTTCTCTTTTTATCGGACTCCCCCAGAGAGAACTGACCCACTTTGTGATGTATGTCTACCGTAGTATTTGGGTTGTACACTTACTGTACTGTTATTATAGTTTTTGTAAATATATGATATTTTAACACTTTGTAAACATGTAAATATCGACGCCATTCAGGCAACATTGTATGCCATGTTTGTCTGTTATGTCTGGTATGTTAATAAAGAATTAAATTTACAAACACACCGCGAGGACAGAAAACACTAGTCTCCATCAGACTCCTTTGCAGGCTGAATAGATAGTAGAAATCGGCCTAAAAAGGGGTTTTATTTGGCCAGAGGAGACAAATTGGACCCTTTCTGGCCGGCCAACATCTCTGGCCGATTAAAAACCCCTGTTTAGGCCGATTTCTACTATTTATTCAACCTGCAAAGGAGTCTGGTGGAGACTAAGAAAACGCTCCCGCCGGTGGAGCTGTCAAAGTTGGGCAGCTAGCTTGTGTGCCCCGGCGCCTGATGGGATTTAAAATGGCGCCCGGAGCCGCCATCTTACCTACTTGAAATGGACCCGGGTTGGTCTGGAGGATTAATTTCGCTTTCCGCAAATATCATCTAGTCATATCTCTCATATCGATTTTTTTGCTACGGACGAATATTATATTTTTGGGAAATTGGAACGCATTTGGCCTAGACAATAGCCATCTAACTCCACATAAATCTCCCAGTCGTCATTTATTACCACCGAGTAATACGGAAAGGCATGCGCGGCTTTAGCAGGATTTGGCTCTAGAGAGAACCCGTGTGTAACTTTGAGTCATACCATGTACTCGCTATAATGAAATGTCAACAAATATGAAATTCAGTCGTTCAGATTTCTGACGTAACCGTGCCGTATAAGCCATGTCTTTGTGGGTTGTTGAGGCTGATACAATTGTTCTGTTTGTCACGAAGTCTAACGTTACTAAAACTTCGTGTATCAAGTTATTGACAGGTGCCAAATTATAAACAAAAACATCCTCGTTCACTTGAGCTAGCTCTTGTCACCAAGATAGAATTAATGGAAAGAAGGCCTCAACAATTACGTATTTCTTTTGCGTGACCTTTCCGGGCTACGTTTGAACGAAACAAGATAAAAGCTGCACTTTTCTGAAGTCAACTCTTCTGTGATTACTATGGTAAGATGATTTATGATAAAAACTTATCATTTTGCAAGCAAAGGCAAGCCAGACATAGACAAATGTGACCATGGACATGCACAATAGCTCAGAAATGGTTTATCATGTGAAGCGTACCTAACGATACATGTTAAGATATGTCCTAGTCGTAGATATCCTAGTTCCACACACACGCGCCCCGTACTGCAGATTCAATCAGCCCATTCTGTTGACCCAGTTGGACCATCAATCCCTTCATAGATCGTCGGCTTAGTTGTCAATCATAGGGAGTTAATGGTTTTAGCTCATTCGCTGTCTGATTCTGCGGAGATTCTGTGGTAATGACTCTACAACTGCCTCGGGCGGGGAGGGAAAATTGGTCGGGAGAGAACATAAAAATTGTTTCCAGGTCAATAAAGAGAATCTGCCTTCAAAAGTTTAGTGGGAACTCATCAAACATTGGCGAAACGGGCGAGGAGCATATTTGCGAGGCGTTTATGTGGCTTAAGTCGATGTCCAAAAGCGTAATTGGTGATTCTGCCATTTACGGTGAAACACTATATGGGGTCCTCTCCTTGGTGCTGAAATGCCATCAGTTGTGTCCAGCCACAAAACTTCAACACTTCAGACGTTCTGTAAGCACTGTGGCAAATTTCACTCGAATATTTCGATCCACTTTCGGAAGAGTCATTCTGTTCTGTGTTCTGTACTTGGAATGAGTGATTCTATTTCGCATTCTGCGTTCGTAAGAGAAGATTTCGATCTCCCAGCATGTTTCCAACACCCCGCGCGTACTTCCTAGCAGTTTGTCGGCTGTGCATCAGATTCTAACGTCCCATAACGGAGGCAATTTTCTAGGAAGAATTAAGACAATGCGATGATAACAGGCGTTACGCGCCAATTTCTCTCCCGTTTCCCTTCATTAATTTTCACCTTGTCAGAAATAAGCCTACTGTCGGTTGTCCCGTGTCGCCCAGGATTCGCATTTCTGTAACTGTCTTCCGTGTCAGTGTCTTCGCTCGTGAATTCCCTGTCTTCACAGTGTCATAGTTAATTTTTCCCCGCACAAAGAACCTAGGTCTAAAATTGACGACTCAACGGTCGCGACAGCGCGAGGGCTCAGGGGTCTCCACGGGGATTTAGAAATCAGCAGGCAGCTCGTCAGGCGGTCTCAGGGGCCTTCCGTGGAGGTGTGCGGAAGCGCTGATAAGGCCGTAACAAAGCGATTACGTGTTTGAAGGGATGCCTGCACTCCGCCTCGCCTATCCCGGGTTATAAATGCCTTCACACCGCCGACGACTCCGCGAGGTGCTGACTTGATGCATGGATAAAAACGTCCTGTCTACAAGGGGAGTCAGAAGTACGAACAAACACATAAAAACTGCATAAAACTCCCGGAGAGGCGTAACGCTCGGCCTAGACACAAATATCACATACAAAGAATAAAACGGTCTTATTCTTAGGGCAAGGAGAGGCTAGATTCTTCCTCTTGTTATCCCGATATTCAAAACATTTCTTTAAGTGTTGTTTGGAATCAGTGCGGAACTGCCAATGCGTCTGTCACTTATCCGTCGATTTTATAAATAAACAAAATTGAGTTTAGCTTAGCTGATTCTTTTGTACCTGTTTTACGTCTTTGTGAGTAACATGTACAACTTCGAAGTTGAGAAATTTTCGACCCGTGTGATAATACAAGATTGCATTTGTGTACGACACTCAATAGTACAAGAGTTGGTCAAAACAGATAGATCAGACAGACGAGTGAACGGTTTACTTGTGTGGAAATGTCTTCAACTGAGATGATTAGTCTTCAAACAGGACCATTCATCACGGGATCAACAAGAGCGGGAATCAATAGCACTTACCATTTAACATGGCGCCAAGAAAATATTCTGCACACATGGAACACCCCTAAAACTCTCTTAGTTTATCGTCTACCGTAAATTCTAGTCAGATATTGACCAGAACTTGCATATAGAGTACAGCAGTTATTTATTTCTTGCATACTGAAAGGATGCAAGAAAGACCCTAACATTCTACTGAAAAGATACTCTTCATCTTTCACCCCGACTGGCTCTTTAGCCTTGTTAGGCGATGACTTTTAAGTACTAGTACACATGTACAAAACCGGCGCTCTTGCACACGATACATCACGGAGTATTTACGTCCCGACCTGTGCGTGGTAACGATTTATCTGGTCGGGCAGCGCGCAGCTTGTAGAGATTTGATGGGACATCGCTCTCGCACAAGACGCATGGGGAAATGAGCGCGTAACGGATCCAACGGACGTCGCGTCAATCGATGGAGTGTGCGCCGATCGCCTGCTCGTTACCGCACTGACGGGACGGACAGGTAGCCTCCAAACAGGCCCTGCTGCGGTTCGTTACCACGCTGACGGGACGGAGAGGTAGCCTCCAAACAGGCCCTGCTGCGGCTCGTTACCGCGCTGACGGGACGGAGGGGTAGCCTCCAAACAGGCCCTGCTGCGGCTCGTTACCGTACTGACGGGACGGAGGGGTAGTCTCCAAACAGGCCCTGCTGCGGCTCGTTACCGTACTGACGGGACGGAGGGGTAGCCTCCAAACAGGCCCTGTTGCGGCTCGTTACCACGCTGACGGGACGGAGAGGTAGCCTCCAAACAGGCCCTGCTGCGGCTCGTTACCACGCTGACGGGACGGAGAGGTAGCCTCCGAACAGGCCCTGCTGCCGCTCGTTACCGTGCTGACGGGACGGAGAGGTAGCCTCCAAACAGGCCCTGCTGCGGCTCGTTACCACGCTGACGGGACGGAGAGGTAGCCTCCAAACAGGCCCTGCTGCGGCTCGTTACCACGCTGACGGGACGGACAGGTAGCCTCCAAACAGGCCCTGCTGCCGCTCGTTACCGCTCTGACGGACGGGGAGGTAGCCTCCAAACAGGCCCTGCTGCGGCGGCGATTTGACATTGACGTTTCTTGCTAATTACATACAGTCATACTGTATTC